TTGCTAGGAAACATCGCAGGTGTTTCTGCATGTTCGAAGTACTAGCTATTGGGGTTCACATGGCCGGAAACGAACATGCTATGTCCGTGGCCATTGTGCTAAAGAGCCCCCGAGGGGGGGCAAATTTGAAGTGCCCACCCATCCCACCCTGGAGATTGGCTAGCCTGGACGGAGTTCCAGGCTAGAGACTTTCTCAGGGCAACAGGGATCTGTGCCACACCGCTAAAAAGAGTGAGGGTCTGCGCGAAGGAAGTGCTAGCTAGTGTACAACTTGTACCGAAAATCAGCTCGGTAGCACAAATCGCTAAGCTTGAAGAACTCGTGAGAGATTATGAGAGATGCAGCGGGCAAAGCTATCCACACGAAATCCTGTTATCTACGCACAAGTGAAGGAAAGCGTATTGGTCTATGAAAGAACAACTCGCAGTTGGATGCCGCATCAAGTGTATCAATCTTTGGAGAATGGACAGGGTCAGTAATTGGCAGTTGTAGAAAACGCCCCAACGGGCGGAGGACAGCAAGCGATGGAAGTAAACCGAGTTGAAGACAAAGGAAAAGGCTGGAAAGGTCGTGACAAAGGCAAAGGAAAAGGCAAGAAACGTTATGGCAAAGCATTTGGAGCCCTCAGTGCCATGAGAGCAGGAAAAGGATTCAGGTTCGGACGAGGAAGAGGAAAAGGAAAAGGTCGTGGAAAAGGTCGAGGAAAAGGAAAAGGCAAGAAAGGAGGAAAAGGAAAGAAAGGAAAAGGCCGAAAGAAAGGAAAAGGAAAAAGGCTTGGAAGGACTGTTTGTAGGATTTGTCATCAAGAAGGACATCGGGGAAACGAGTGCCCCAATAGACATTCAGTCCGAAATTCAGAAGCAGAAGACCATAACCAAGGAACTGAGGTTTATGCGCACATTCCACCACAACAAGAGCCGTATCCCAGACCGAACGCAGCCGAGTCTGGAAGTATCCGACAGACAACAAGTAGAAGCGATCCCAGAGTCGTGACAAGAAGAGTGAGAGGAGATTTCACTCCAAAACCTTTTTACCACATCGGAACACCTCCCGAAGAATTTCCTGAAGTATTTCCTTTGAATTCGGAAACAGAAGAAGAGCAAGGACACGATATCCGTATTATGTACACTCGGATGGTCAAGGAAGTAGAAGAGAAGGATCCCGAGTCAGAACCGATTACAAATCCCTTCTTTGGAGAACTACCTAGCCCTGGATTCACGGATTCGAAAGAGGAAACGGAAGCGTCTGGTGTATGCCGAGGATGTGGTACTGCTCTTGAAGCCACTTGCAGTAGACCAGGGAGTACTCAGAATAGCAAATATCCGAGGATGCCAGAACTGTATCCTGGAGTAGATCGTTATCTCCGACTACAGAACAAACTACGGAGTGAAGGAAAACCGTATGACAAAGTAGCGATTGATGATTCTGTAGAGAGAAAGAGAGAACGCATGGATTCAGTCCCACTCGGAGATAGAGAAGGAACAGGGAGAGAAGAAAGAAGTGGACAACGTATGTATGGTTCGTGAAGAGTTTCATGATGACGTGGAAGAATGGTTCTTGATGGATGAGACTGCTGATGGAGACAACGATCGGCTTGTTGTCGAAGAGCCACGAGAATCAGTCCGCGCAGTTCAGACAGAAGAGACTGTACCCGAAGACGGATTAGAGATTATCATTGAGGACTCAGGTTCAGATGCCAGCTTGTTGCCTCGCGATCACCCGCAGGCAGCGAACGTTGCTTCAGGAAATACTGGAATCTTGTTGGAAGATGCTCAAGGAAACCTCGATCAGGTCAGCTGGTATGGTGACAGCTGTCATCGAGGTTGAGCAAGGAGACTGTTGGACAGCCCCCAGTACATCGGAAAGCTTCATCGTAAGCGATGCTACGAATATACTCTTATCTATGGGTCGAGTTTTGAAGAAAGGTTGGAGACTTGAATATGACCCAAGGACATATGAAGGAGAACAGATGCTAAGTGCTCAACACAATATGACTGTGTCCTCGATGGTGTTGGTAAGCCCTGATGGAAAAGCAAGCACTAGGATCTTCTACAAGAGGAATAGTTGTTGTTTGTTAGGCCGTATCTCAGTCGTCGGAAGTGATCGCACTGTTTCACCCGAAAGGACCCGTTGGACGGGCAGCAGAGGCCAAGGATGTGCCACTGCAGGAAGTAGTACCGACAGTCGTACTGCGGTCGAAACAAGTGTATCGGTAAGGATACCCGATGTCTTCACGGATCTGTTGGACAGAACTCCGAATGGTAAGTGGGCGATCATGGATGACGGAACTCCGTATAACGTATACCAAGGAACTACGTTTATGGATCCCAGAGATGCTTTTCCCGGATGGAAGTACAGGACCACTATGATTGGAGAAGGAGGAAGTGAATGGTCTGTAGTAGAGTTGTACTCTGACTATGGAAAGGACAAGAAGCTCAGTGTGAGTATTCCTGAGTGTTACGGAGTAACAACGAGAATTTGTACTATCCTCCATGCTACGAGTGGAAACTTTTTCACTTTCTGTAATGACTTCAAAGTGGTCATGGTTGGAAGAAGACCGAAGGAACCTTTCAGGGAACCGGAACGTGGAGTACCGGAAGAATTGAGCACACCGGTGGTACCGGTAAAGATCGCTCCAGGAAGGAGTGAAGGAGTCTACGATGGCGATGGGAACCCGTTATCTGAGTTGGAAATGCAGAAGTCTGCTCAGAAGTTGAAGAGTGAAGGAAAAGAAAAGGTAAGAGTAGAGGCTCAGCCTGACGAGCCGACCGAACAGGAACGGTTAGAACACGAAGCAACGCACATTCCTTTTGCACATTGGTGTGAGAGTTGCGTAGAAGCCAAGAGAGCAAACAACACCATGAAAGGAAGAATCCCGAAACATCAAAGGATACTGTTGGAGTACCGTATCCCATTATTCAGTTGGATTCTATGTTTTTGCAAGGAAAGGATACCCCCGCACTAGTTCATGGTATTTGTTCATGGACGCGTATGTCAGTTGTTACTCCTGTGTCAGGAAAACAAACGGAACGGAAGACCGTGGAGAAAGTGTTAAAATGGGTACATAGTCTTGGACATCTGGGCGAAGTTGGATTCGTTGGAGACTCAGAGGAAGCGATGGTATCTCTGGTTGCAGCAGTGGTAGAGACGAGAAGGAAAATGAATCGAAAGACACATGACCAGAACAACAAACCTTATCAGCAAGGTAGGACCGCGAGAGTGGACAGATTTATCCAGACGGTGAGGAATCAAACTGTATGCCTGGTAAGAGCAGCCGAGAGGAAACTAGGTATTGAGATCCCTGAAGGCCACGCAATAGGGGCCTGGGGACTTTTGGGTTTAGGGGTTTAGCGGCAAGGGTTAAGGGTTGTGGGTTTACACTCTCACAACTCGGACAAGCCAGGCGAGGATCCATAGGTGCACAGGTCGGCGTGACACTTCAAGCTGCCCATGCATGCCACTATCACTATCCAGAACCCGTGAGTAAAATAAGTATCAATCCCAAGCCAAAGGGCCTAAAGCAACAGTGGATGCAGGCTCGACTATCCTGAGGACATGGGCCTCAGTTTCAAGGTGTTTCTTAGGTCTAGGGCCATATACTGAGACGCCTCATGACGAAACCAGAAGGGCTACGACACCGTTAGTCATCAGACAGAAGATATACAGCCAAGGCTGGTGTCGGGCGTTGGTGCGGTCTTCGCTGCAGTGTCATCTTGCTGTTTGTTTCAGCGCTCTACTCTTTGTCACAACACCTGACAGTGGTACTCGGAAGCGCTATGATGTATTCGGTTGCTCATGCAGTGCAGCCCCTGGTGTCATCAGTGGAAACTCATCTGTCTTCTCTGCGGCGTCTTCACATATCTTGCGAACTCCTCAGTCTCTCGAGACAGCT